CTCTGATGCGGTGACAGAGACTTTGCAGACATGACTAACTGAAGGACCTTGACATGGGGAGAATGTGGTCTGGGTGGACCCACTAAGATCACAAGTGTCCTTATAAGGGAGAGGGAGGAAGAAGGGTTGGAGATGTGTTTACCATCAGGGAGATGTAACAGAAGCAGTGGTGCAGGGACATGGGGCCATGAGCCAAGGAATGCAGGCGGCTTCTAGAAGCTGGGAAAGGCCAGGAAACGGCTTCTCCCCTGGAGCCTCTGGAGGAGCATGGCCCTGATAGCACTTTTTTTTTTTTTTTTTTTAAGATGGAGTCTCACTCTGTCACCCAGGCTGCAGTGCAGTGGTGTTATCTCGGCTCACTACAATCCCCACCTCCCAGGTTCAAGTGATTCTCCTGCCGCAGTCTCCTAAGTAGCTGGGACTACAGGGGCTCACCATCACGCCTGGCTAATTTTTGTATTTTTAGTAGAGATAGGATTTCACCATGTTAGTCAGGCTGGTCTTGAACTCCCGACCTCAGGTGATCTGCCCACCTCAGCCTCCCACAGTGCTGGGATTCCAGGAGCGAGCCCCTGCTCCCGGACCCTGATAGCACTCTTGATTTCCACCCAGTGAAAACGATTTCAATTTTGATCTCCAGAGGTCAGACCATACCTTCGCCTTGTTTTCGGCCCCTAAGTAAGTGGTCATCTGCCACAGCAGCTACAGGCCACTGATACATCAAGGAAAGCCAGGGGCAGAGGCAGTGCCAGGAAGAGTCTGAAGGCTGCCCATAGGGAGAGAGAGAACGTCCTGGGGGTAAGGACATGGGCTGTGGAGCCAGAGGCCCGGGGTCACGTCCCCCTCCACCGCCCACCGCCGTGTGACTGCTCAGGGCCGCGCAACCTCTCCGGGCTGCTGGGTCCGTGTCGTAAAATAACACAGAGGAAACATTACAGTGCTGGTCTCTTAAGAGTGTTGGGAGATGAAATGAAGCAATTTTCATACGGTGGTCAGCATAGACCTGACATACTGAAAAATATTCGTCGTCTTCCTGTGACAAAAATAAAGGCCGGTGGAAGATTGGGTGGCACCTCCAGACCAAGCAGGAGCGAAGCTGGTTGTGTGTGGGTTCGGCAGGTGGGCAGGAGGGGCTTCTGGTGACCTCCCAGGCTCCCAGGGCACAATCTCAGGAAAGGGGCAAGGAGGGGTGAGGGGCAAAAATAGAGTCGGGGGCACAGAACCTGTGGCCACCAAGGAGGCGTGCCCAGCCTGAAGACAGAGGCACAATCGCGGGCTCACCTCCTATCTCCCACACGCAGGGCTCACGCCCACCCGGTGTCCCCACCTCTAAGACGAAGCGTCACCTGGAGTCCATTCACCTTCGACCCAATTCCCTTTTTCTTTTAGACATGGCTGGGGAGAACGAATGACCAGTGACCCAGGCTTGCTGGCTGTACCGGCTCAGCCTCTGACTGAGGGCTTCCTCTGTTTTAACTCTGGGAAAGGGAAAAGAATGTCCTGGGACCCCATATACCGTGCACAAAGGGCTGTTACTTTAAGAGCTTTCTTGAACTTGCTGCTTCCTGCTGAAACTGCTGGACAGAAATGGTTTTAAAATGTACAGTTGAAGTACTCCTGGATCTCAGAGCTTAACAGCTCATAAGCATTTTCCTCTGAATAGACAAAGCTATTGATAGTTTAATGGAATTGCAAAATACCACCAGGAAAATCCATAGTGTTCACAGCCAGTAGCTTTAAAATAACCTTTGTGGTATCAGTACACAGGTACAATACTTTCTGTACAGATGGGGGGTCGCTATGTTGCCCAGGCTGGTCTTGAACTCCTGGGCTCAAGCAATCCACTCATCTTTGCTGCCCAACGTGTTGGGATTACAGGTATGAGCCACTGTGCCCAGCCACAATTTAATTTAATATAAGCAGGGTAGAGAGAAACCCAGCTGAACCAGTGAGGAAGTTATCTGGGGTGTAAAAAGTTGTTTCAAAGAACCGTTGTATAGACCGATAATGATAAAAAACAAAAGCAATCACCAGTAACTGGTGACCGTTTACCCCACGAAGGGCTCGTGCTAAGCATAGCACAGGTCATAGCTTGTTTCATCTTCACAATAACCCTGTGAACTGGAAACCAACATCAGCCCCTTTTAGGGGTGAGGAGATCAAAGCTCAGAGAGGTGAATTCCTTCCCCAAGTCACACCGTAGGAGCTATAGGACTCCGGGTTCTCTGACTCCCAATACACACTGCGGTAATGGCAGCCCCCGCGCTTGCCTCTCACTCACCGCGCCAGGCACCGTTCTGAGCACTTGGCATCTCTGAATTTTTTTAATTTTCACAAGTACCCTATAGACATCACCACCCCCCATTTTGCAGATGAGAAAACTGAGGCACAGAGAGGTTAACTAACTTGCTGGAGGTTGCAAGGCTTTGAATGATGGCCCCAGGGCTCAAGCCCAGGCTAATGTCCAGCCCCAGGTCATTGGCCACCTCTCATACGGCCTCTCTCTGCCTCTGCACCTGTGGTGGACCTGTGTCCTTCTCACGGGCTCCCTGGCATCTGGAGCATCCCCTGTTAGGACCCCCCCTCTCTCAGGAGAAGGAAAACGTGGAAAACCTGAGACCGGCTTTCCCAGTCCTCTTTGCAGGTGGTGACTGGCCACAGACAGCGGTTCCTCTGACTGGATCCAGGCACCCCAGACTTGGAGTCAGATGCTGACTGCTGGAGCTGAACATGGGGAGAGGCCGGGCCACAGCAGATCTATTTCTGGTGCTGCAAAGGGCACCACCCTGAGCCTGAGGGTGTACCCTCCTTCATTTTGGTACCTGAACATCTCCTACCCTTATCCATGCCCTGCCTGGAAATCTGAAGGTCACGGCAGAGAGGCTCAGTGTCCAAGTGGCCACGCATAAGCCCTGGCCCCTGCCTCCTATTTCACAGACAGGCTAGGAATGTTGTAAACACAGGTCCCAGGGCACAGCTACCAACCCTTTGTGCTCCTCTCCATCCCCTTCCCTTATGCTGCCCATTTAACAGCGGGTCCTTGATCCTACAGTTCCTGAGAATGCATCCCATCAGTAAATACATCAGGCAGATAATCTGTGTCTAATCCTTCATCATGCAAAGCTTTGAACAGTCCTTACACATTCTTGGAAGGATTCTTGAAATAGATTACTCCCATCAACAAATCATGTTGAACTTGATGTAACCTCCTGGGAACCCCAGATAATCTCAGCAGAGTGCCTCAGGCATGGCTCTGTGAAGCTGTGGCACCCAGAGACCCATAAAGCTTGCCCCACAGCCAGTGTCCCCAAACCTCACTACCCTAAAAGTGTGTGCTTCTCGCTCTGTTGCCCAGGGTAGAGTGCAATGGCATAGTCTCGGCTCACTGCAACCTCTGCCTCTTGGGTTCAAGTGATTCTCCTGCCTCAGCCTCCTGAGTAGCTGGAATTACAGGCACATGCCACCACACCCAGCTAATTATTGTATTTTTAGTAGAGATGGGGTTTCACCATGTTGGCCAGGCTAGTCTTGAACTCCAGACCTTAGGTGATCCACCCGCCTCTAATATCACGTCTTTCTAAAATTTGTGTGTCTGTTTTGAGAGGCAACTCTTGTATCATTCCTCAAGCCCACTTTGGTTTAATTTGTTATTGCAGCCTGCTTTAAACTGGAAAACCATATAGCCAAAATTTGTTAGGCTTAAAGTGAGAATGACAATTTATGAAATATGGTTTGAGGGGCTCTATGCGTAGAATACGCTTGTCTGCTAACTTCGTTCCGGTCTTGTGTGCATGCATGTGCGTGTGCATGTATGTCTGAGCACCTGTGTATGACAGAGACTGTACACACCTACAATAAGCTAAGTGTCTGCTCCTTGACCAGCCCCATCAAATACCCCATTGGCAAGAGTTTGAGACCACTCACCTCAGTGAGTCGGATGTCTGCAGGGATCCGGTCTCCGATCGAGAGAGACACGACATCTCCAGGAACCAGTTCTCGAGCAAGCAGGTGCTGGAGTTTTCCTTCTCTTAGGCTGCATTTGACGTGGTAAAAAGCAAGAGCATCCATGCTGACATTCGTTTTTATGCACTTTGATGCATTTGAACAAGGAGAAAAGAAACACACTTTTCTCTTTTAATACACACCAACCCTGTGCCTTCAGGGTGTCACTATTTTGAAATTAATATATCCTCTAAGACTTTAGGGAAAGCATGCGGTTTCTGGGCATCCTCGGGCCACATCTGAAAGACGAGGCCATTGCTATTTACCCTGCCTGGAAACCAGGTGGGCCACATGCCGCAGGGAGGCTCCTGGGGTCAAGGTCAGTGGTTCTAAAGCCTCCGAATGCAGCCGACAGAGTTTTGTCCTCAGAGCACACAGCACTCAGGGTGCAGGGTCTGTATCCGGAAGTCAGGGATGGCACAGCCTTGTCATAGCTGGAAGCCCAGGACCTCCATTCCCGCAGGGCTGTGACCAGCTGCCCTCAGACTATGGATGTGCTTCTGTGCAGGCTGTGAATGGAATCCCCCACACTACCGCCCCTGGCCCATCCCAGCTGACTCTGACCTCCCACCTGGCCCCTTCAACCCCTCCTGCATACGGCAGCTGGAGCGCTCTTAGGACCCCAAACCAGATCCCAGCTCCCTCCTGCTCCAAACCCTCCGATGGCTTTCCTATGACCTTGGTACCAAACCCAAAGATCTACTCCGGGGCAGGCCAGCCTCCTGCAGCTCCCATCTCATTCCACCCAGCCCCCTTAAACACGCAGCTCCTTCTGGTCTCAGGGGCTTATGCAGACCTCAAACGCAGGAGCAGAAATTCCCCTCCTCCTTGTTAATGGAATGTGATCTTGTTCAGGTATCCCCGCTCTCTCCACAGCCATGTGCCCCGGGGAGTGGGTCATGCCTGGCTAAGACCCCTGCTCTTGATTGGCTTAGGCATCAGCACATCACGCGACACTGGCCTGTGAGACGTGAGTGGATGTTTGCTGGGGGCTTGTGGGAAAAGATTTCCTTACTGTATGTGCATGTGCGTGCGCGCGCGCGCGCGCGCACACACACACACACACCCCCACACACCTTCTTCTATAGGGCCTTTGCGTGTTTGGCTGTGATGCCTGGAGCTGTGGCAGCCGCCTTGGGACCATGAGGAGAGCCAGCCAAGAACCAATCCAACCCCTATAAGCTCAAGGTGGCAGGGAAAGGAGGTGAAAGGGCCAGGCCCTGGGTGCTCTGCTGAATTAAGTAACCCCACAGCTCCCACCTCAGATCCCTGGCTATGAGACAATATATTTTCTTAGGGTTTGTGCACTTGGACTTTCTGTTCCTTGTAACCAAGAGCACCTGCCAGAGATATACCTGCTGCTCCCTCAGCACCTCCCACAGCTGGCTCCTCTTCCTCAGGCCTCAGCTTAAATGTCACCTCCTCTCTAAATGTCAGCCTGATCGACAGCTGTTTAGGGTTGTCCTCCCCTTCCACCAGCCACTATTATATCTCAGTGGGATTTATTTGTTTTGGTGGCCTTGGGCATTTTTTGGCTTTCGTGTACCTGGACAATTCCAAAATCATCTTGTTTCTTCATTGGCTGATTATGTACCCCCTTGGTAGGAATGTGAGCTCCCCAGAGGCCGAGGCCTCTCCCTTTCTTCCACTTATACAACCTCAGTGCCCTTTCCCCAGGCATACAGTAGGTACTCAATACATATTTGATGCCTGCATCACGGATGGAGTAACACAGGGAGGGGTCCCGCACGGCAGGGTTTCCCCTGACTTGGAAACGGGTCTCGGCAACTCAGAGGGTGGGCTTCACCTCCTCAGCACTCTTCCAACTCTACCGGGCTGCCTGACACCGCTGTGTTTGTAAATAAAACCGTCTTTCAGAAGCTACCTCCCGGGCAACATTAATAATGCACGCTATTCACCTGAAAGGCCAAGACTTGATATTTAAGCTTAAGATCGGTTCATCAAATCACATAAATCATTTATGCTTCCGTTTGCTCAGTTAATGATGTCACATGTCTGGATTTCTGACAGCATTGTTCATCTGACCAGCGAGCCCAGATGTTTCCACTGCTCCTGTGGCCCTTCTACAATGGACTCGCCCTCTCTGATGTGAGTCAATTCTGTATCCTCCTCTTCTTATTTGGTCCTTCGTCATTATCCGCCTTGTATTATACACACACCCCCCTTGAATGCTGACTCTTTGAGACGGGGGACCTTATCTCACTAGGGCTTTCTACCCCAGCCCCATGGCTCAGTTGTACAACATGTACCTGGGATATATACTAAAGCTCTCCCCGATAATTATCCTTCAGAAAATACGGAGTTGCCATGTGTTTGCCAAATGTTGGAAATGGGTCTTAGAGACTCAGAGGGTGGGCTGAGTTGTTCCCAGGAACCGCAGATCATGGGATACTTTTACTTTTTTTTTTTCTGAGACGGAGTTTCGCTCTTATCACATAGGCTGGAGTACAATGGGGCAATCTTGGCTCACGGCAACCTCCACCTCTGGGTTCAGGCAATTCTCCTGCCTCAGCCTCCCAAGTAGCTGGGATTATAGGCACCCACCACCATGCCCAGCTAATTTTGTTTTTTAAAAAATTTTTAGTAGAGACAGGGTTTCACCATGTTGGCCAGGCTGGTCTTGAACTCCTGACCTCAGGTGGGCTGCCTACTTTGGCCTCCCAAAGTGCTGGGATTACAGGCATGAGCCACTGTACCTAGCTGATCACAGGATACTTTCTATCACTTTGAGTAGAATTGTCAGATGCCATATTGGACAGGGCAGATGATATTAATAGAACATTTCCTGCAAGTTGGATCGCACAGGGCTACGCTAAGCAGAAATGGCCATGGGGTACTGGTAGATTTTTAAATCTTTTCTCTTTCCTTGTTAAACATCTCTGGTAAGAGCTGTGCAATAACCAACAGCACCAAGGAAAGGTCTGGACAGGAAAGAGGCTGTTGCGGCTGCCGAGCGGTTACTCAAGTTCACTCTCTCTGTACCCTATACTGCAGCCGATGTTCTCTTGGCTCCGCTTGTTAAAGACCTGGATCTTACTCTCCTGAGTCCATTCACTGAGAATTCAAATAAACCTCCAAACCCTCTCCCTAGAAAAAATACACAGTTCTGCACACTATTTCACAGGCTTTGTGGGCTACCCTCTTCCCAGAGTCACTCCTGCCACCTGTGGCCCTCAGGCTAGGCACCCTGATTTAGACACTGAAGATGGAGTTGAGGCCCAGAGAGGTTGAGTGACATGCTCAAGGACACACAGCAACCTGTTGGCAGGCGGAGACCAGGCCTTAGAACTCCCAGGGAGATGTGGTTCTCTTGTCCGACACTACCAAGGATACAGCTTTCACCAAACATTTGCCGAACCCTCCAGCTCACTGGCTCCTCCAGTGAACC